GGATTTAGCTCATCATACATCCCACGTCATGGGGCTACGGCAACAGGAATTCCTGCTCCTCAGTGAAGTCGTGAACTGATGTAGCTGCTGTAAAGGCTGCTCTGGTTTTAAGGAACTTTCAGTGAGATTTAAGTTCAAGAGTTTTACCTCTCACCTGAGACAAAAGAGGAACACAAACATGATTGGTTATCCAGGCTCAGCTGATGTGTAGGAACTCAGTCACCATCAGACCTGTTCCCATAGCCTCGGGCACTGCGCTGAGTCACTTTTCCCACAACCTGATAAGAGTGAACATCTCGAGGGAAAGACAACTCTTCACATTGGAAGAAGGATCACAGTATCAGCAAAGAAGTGTGTGTGGGGGAAATAATTTCAGCATTGTCCTGGTAACCAACTGGGTTTTCAGGTTTCTGAGGTCTTTGCAAAGCTTCACCATAGATCAAGCTCAGGTGTTTCCTTAGCAGGTTTGTCTTCTTACCAAGAATTAATCCCTTACTCTGATCTAGTCGGCCTGTCTGCAAACTAATGAGCTTGAAATTACTACACACTTGTTTGCCCCTCTCTGAGCTCTGATCTGTGACACAGCCGCAGCTGTAGCTGGAGTTATTTCTCTCTTCACTGACGGGTTGCAGCCTAAAGGCGAGGCTTGATGCTGAAATTCAAATCTGTTTCCATGTGGGATAAAAGGGAGAAAGAACTTTTTAGAGCCAAGGTTTCATTTGGGATCCATACCTAGACAGCATTTTTTTTTAAAAGCCTTTTAACAGCACAGGCCAGGGCTATCTTCATGGCACAGGATTCCACCTTTGGCACAAACAGCAAGGGGAAGACTATTAACGAGTACTTGCCTGGATTCCAAATGACCACAGGAATTATTCATACTCACTGAGTTCTTTATTGCTGAACTGTTTCTGTGTTTTCTTCTCTTGCACCTGGTTTATTTCCCCATCCTACCACTTGTGTGGTTTACTCTGAGACTTGCCCCTGTGAAGTGTTTAGCCTATGTCTGTGTCTACTGTGAAGGTGAAGCGCAAGGTGAATTACTCGAAGTAAGAGATGAAGTTAAAATAGTGTTATCTAAGGAAGGTTTTATTTGTATATATATGTACTCATGAATCTTAACCAAACTATGGCACAACTTCCATCTGAGCCTGCAGACTGAGTATCTTTCAAAAAATGGGAAAAAAGCAGCTTTCCAAAAATGTACGTGCACAGACCAACAGAAATGCAGCCACCTCTGGAGCTGAATACAGCTGCTGCTTATCCAACACAGCACGATAGTGACATGGACCATGACGTTATCCACAGCAAACCTCTGGTTTTTGGTAAATGCACCATGGGTTTCTGCATGCTTGCTATACGGAAGGAGACTCATATATTTAAAGACTTCACCTGCGACAACAATGCAGAGTCAGCAGAATGCATTTCCTGTATGTCCCTTGGAAGGTCAAAAACGTCCGCAGCTGAATATGCCCGAATACAAACTGCCAGGCTCTTGAGCAATTTCGTATCTGATATTCAGGTACCTCACTAGCTCTACCACTCGGTGCCTGCCGTGACAGATATGTCACCACTAAAGGTCACGGCAAGGTTTTCCCCGCCAGTGTTCCTCACCTTACAGGAAAGGCAGATTTGTTTCTCTATTCAATTGTTTGGTTCGTGTGTCCCAGGTACTATCGCTTGTTTCACAGTGCCCTCTACTGCCCAGCCCACACGGCTGTGAGGCTATAGGTAATGTGCCGAGAAATCAGTAGGATCTTTGTGGGGACAGACAGCACTCAGCACCACACAGCTTCGTGTCAGCTCAGAGGCCCCGTGCTAGTGCTGAGATCTGAGTTCAGCATCTGGTCCCTGCCAGAGCTCTAAGTGCGGCGGGCTCAGAAAGCACTGCCACATGCCAGGGATGCACAGCTGATTGATTTTCAGGTCTGTGTTCAGCTTCTGGAGGAACTGTATTTCAGCTCACAACCCACACCTCCCAAAGCCCTTGCCCTGTTCTGATTGCTCCTATCTGCGATAGAACAGACAGCAGACACCCCTTGTACTAGCACTGCTGAGACCCCTCCTTTGCAGCCACAGCTGGCAGCTTTACTCTTCACTGCTACTCAGCCCATGTCATCTGAGTAAAGAGTAACTCCCATCTGCCAGGGAAAACAGGAAAGCTGACTTTCATCCTGACCTGGCACAAAACCTGGAACCAGGATTCCTTTTGGTCGTGGGGGTCCTCTGGAAACTTCACTGGAAGTTTCTGTCTAGGTGGTAAGAGATCAGATATTCCAGGTTTCTACTGGCATACCACCTCTACTGCTTGGCAAAGCTGTTTAGTCAGTCAGGTATCCTAATAGCTCCAAGAATCCCCACCCTTACCAATAATTTTTCTGCCCTGTGTATGGGGAGCAACATGTCCAAGCTGGTACAGGCAGCCAGGCCTGACACTAAGATTAGTTTCTGACCCTCAGTGCCAGAATATAAAGCATTCAGAATAAAGATGTTCCTGCAAATCTGTTACTTACCTAAGTTATCAAAGTTCTTTCAAGCCCCACACCCATAGGTCACTCTGTTAGATCGCTCACTCGTGCACACTTGGCTACCACACATGCACTGCACTGCGCGAGGAACAGCCCTGCAATACGTACAGGATTCACTGTGCAAGTCAGGTGTTGTGAAGCAGTTAAATCTGTGTGCCTAAGAGTAATGCAATGCTCTCTGTAAAGGAAAAGAGTTCACATGTGGGCATGCGAAAACACACAGTTTTCAGCAACAAGCATCTTAAAAAGCTTGGGTGTAATAATTGTAAGCAAGTCTCACACAGAGAAAGGGAACTTCATGATACCAATACAGGATTTTGTCTCTTCTGTTATCCAGAGACAGATTTCTGAGGCATCACTCTGATACCACGACAAGGATGAAATTCCTCAGAGAGCTATAGACTCACCCTTCTCATGTCAGGATCATGGTTACCACCCCATGCATCCACTCCTAAGCAGTACATGCAACTGGGACTGTCTCCTAGATTTGCTAAGTTTAGACATTTTTACCCCATGGCAAAAGCACAATTTGGCCAGGCTTGCCATGGCAATGATGAGACAACTTGCTTAAGAACAGAAGAGGGTGCATCCCTCGATGTTCACCTGTCACCAGTGAGGGATTTTTCATTCACAAAGGGGTACGAAAGGTGGTCAGAGTGTATAACAGAAGGTATGGGCACTTATACCCAGATTCCCAATTCCCTTTTGGTTCCCTGGCTTCCCTTGGGAAGAGATACCTGAACGCAGTCAGGTAGGTAACTCTCCTTCAGAGAGCTGCCAGCCGTCGTTGCCATGCACACTGCCAGCATGCATGACTACTGAGATTACTTCTCTGTGTCACTGTGTCATCCTCCTTGTGCTCTGCAACAGCCCTGTTCTGCTCCTTCCTGCCAGGGACGTACAGCCAGGAAGACAACAAGCAAACACAGCTACACAGTGTTCATAAACCTTAACACGAGCGTGTTCTCACTTTGCTGCTTCTGTAACAAGTACCAAGGATAACCACAGCAGCACTGACCTTGAGTTGATATGTTAGAATAACAAGACTAACAGAAACACTACCACTGATACTGCATGAAAAACAAAACAAAACAAAACAAAACAAAAAAGCACAAAAGCATCACCTAGAACTACAAAGCTCTAGCAATAAGGCTGCTGCAGTTGCAGTAGCCCATCAGAAACAGTCCCTTTGGGGAGGTCATGTTATTTAATAAACCAGTTGATGCCAGTACTGCATATATCACAGCTCATCTGCTTTTGCCAGCTAAGTAGCTTACCTAATAAATATACTTTGTCATGTTACAAATTTTGCTTCTTTACTATTGCAAACCCCATGACCACCCAAATGCAGAACTATGACAAAAGCAGACACAAAAACAAACAAATAAACCAGACACAACAAATGAGCCCACCACTGACACGGGGTAGGTAACAGCTTGGGGTAGGTCTCCTTCCCACAAGGCTCGGAAACTAACGCAGCACCCCCAAACTTGATTTCAATCTGCTTTCACTAACAAGGTTGGCAGAGAGCCTTTATCTAGAAACAATCCCACGTTTTTTCCTTGAGCATGCCACATGCTGCCCAACCTATTTTAGTCCTGGTACATGACAAGCAGAAATGCCGCGTTGTAACACTGGGCAGCACAGGGTGATCTTTTTCATAAGGTCAGACAGTTATTAATCATGCCTTTAAATTGTATCTGCATCCAAGACAAATCATTTTACTTACTGTTCTTTTTCCACAGTGTTCATTTGGAACCAAAGGGAACCAATGGGCATATTTAAGGTAAAAAGGAAAAACAGTGTTAACTAAACTGCTTTGTCAGCAACAAACCTTCATTCCCTTCCCACCCTCTCTCCTCCCAGCCCATCCCACAGAGGAATCTAGCTTCTCTTCCCATGTTTGACCATTCCATTGGCTCCTCCACTGAGTTGTTCCCGTTCTCTGCCCACATCAGCGCCAGCGCAATGCAGCATGTGCTAGATGTCCGCAGGGGGTCCCACGACCCTGAGCACCAGCCAGAACATCACAGACACATCGCACTAATGGAGCTGGATTGCTGTGCTTCAGTCTCTAACGCACATAATGAGATTAGCATTTGAATAGTGCTGATCAAGTTACCAGTAGCATTGAACCTGGGGTCCATCAGATGCAAATGAGCCACTATAAATTTTGCTCCTTTCTTAAGGGCTCTTTATATTCACAGCCAATGCAGAAAGAACTGCAGTAGGTATGGACAGGGAAATCTGTCTCTCACTGTGACCTGGATTTCTGACAGTGGAGAAGTGACGGGAGCATCGTTGCTGAAAGATATTTTTTGACAGAGTGCAAGCATTTTTCCCTCCCTCTTTTTGATGCTTCCTTTCTGCCAGGGCTGTGGAGGCATTACAGCATATGCTGATATAACATTTAGGGACATAAACATTCAGAACGCCTTTATGTAGGTCTTTATTTTATCTGGTCCTAATTACCTCAGTGACTTCTGAAAGCCTGCCGGACTTCTTGCACAGAGGACTCGCATCCTTCCTGGGTGGGAGGATGAAGCTGAAATAAGCCTGTCATCTCCAACTGTCTCGCTTCAGTATCTCCAAAGTGCATGCAATATATTGGAGCACCTTAACCATTTCTTCTCACCTCCCCTCCTCAATCTCCCTAGAGGAAGATTCAGAATACATCCATTTAGGAAGAATCAGCTTTAGGGTACTGCTTTGCATGATTAAATGTACACTAGCTAATCCTCTCTGTATTCCAGCAGATGCTCAGTTATAAGGGAGGTTTTTCCCTGTGCCACGTGCAAGAACCTTGAGGAGCATGAAAGGATGCACAGTCAACTTGTGAAAATGGAAACTGCAGGTGTCTGCAGGTGAGCTTTGGTGCATGCCATCACTAGAAACCATGGAAAGAAACCAAGAGCTCATCTTTCCTACTAACATTTTTTTTAAACACGTTTACATTTCTGCTGGCTCCGTACCAGAAGAAACAACACAACCAAGAGATCTCAAATACAGTCATCTTTTAGTTTTTTAAGAGTGCACTGCAAGTATAACTGAACTAACTTGTTCTTGTGATGATTCCAGTTGACCTGTACATTCATTTGGCTCCAGTAGCCTTTTTTTTTTTTTCAGAAACTTGATTAAAGAAACCAAGATCATGTCAGATCTCTAAGCAGCCTGACTGAAGTACATAAAATAAGCAAATACTTTGAAGAGCTCTCAAACTCCTTCAATTTGTGATACAAACCCCTAGATGGCTTTAATTGCGTTCTAGCATACATGATCTGAGATCTGCAACTGGGAGTGACTTTCTGTAGCCCAATCCCAGCACGTGCATAGCTCCACATAATATTAATATTATTATACCTAATGTTATTAATCACTAGCTGATATTTCTGGAACCAGATCTTCCTAACAATAGTACTGCAAGTTTTTGCTACAGCTTTAGTGAGGACGTTTACTACTGTTAGTCTTCATTTATCCTGGACTCATTCAAGATGGCAGCTTCTCATGCCACCTCCATTTACTGCTAGCTATTAACTGACCTCATCATAAGGCTGCTTAAGGCGTTAATCTGGGTTTTCAGCTTACACGGTGTGCTTGTCTTTAGGTGCAAAAAGGGAAAATACATGCGTTAGCTTTAGTTAGCTAAATACCAGAACTCCTCAACTCCTCCCCTGAAACAAGAAGAGACCTTCACACCCTCACATGCTCTCCGTTTCAGGAACAGTCTGAGTAAGCACCCTGCATTTGTAATGTTGTTCAGCTCCTTTTCCTACAAAGCCTAAGTGGTTACAACTAGCTTCAAGCTTGGAGCACAAGAACTACTCCACATCCCAGCTGCTCGTTATTAAAACTGAGCTAAATAAGCACGTACCACAGACTTACACGCTACTTCTCCCCAGGGAGCAGGAAATTTATTGGGGGGACACTCGAAGGTGCTCCAAAGGGGACCCTGACACGGGCCCGGCTGCCCCACCCGCAGCACCTCCCCCGGCCCCTGAGGGGGGAGCTCCGGGGCCCGGGGCTGGGCGACGACACCCCAGAGCCATTTTCCTCGAGGGGAAGCTTACACAGGAGACGAGGGCCTCGGCGTGAACGGCTGCAACCTCCTCCTGCGGCACACAGCGGCCTCAGGCTCCCCACGCGTCCACCCCCTCAGGGCCGGACCCACCTCACGAAGCCCCCCCCCACCCGCCTCAGGCCCGGTTCCCCCTCACGGCCCCGCCGCTCCTCACCTCACGGCCCCGCTGCCCGGCGAAGCCCCCTCACACCAGGGCGGCTCCCCGGGGCTGAGGGGAGGCGCGGCCCCGCCGGGCCCCTCCCGGCTGCTGCCCTCAGGCGCCCGCCTCAGTTCGCCACAGGGGCGGCGCGCGCGGCCCGCCCGGCCCCGCCGTTTCCCGCCTTCGCGGCACGAGGCTGCCTCAGGGCGCGGCGGGGCCGTGAGGTGACCGCTGAGGCGGCTCCCAAGTAACCATGAGGGGCTTCTTTTTCCCCAGAAAGCCACAACTGGCATCTAAACTGCACAAGAAAACATATGAAAAAAAGAACGGCTAAAAAAGTAGATTTTACTTTCTGGTCCAACCCAGCAAGAAGCATTTGGAAAGCATTTGTTCCTACATTTCAGCTCCTTCAGCTGCGAGTCTTGGACAAAACATTTATTTCGTGAATAAAAACTGTCATTAGAGATGGATGAGAAGCTGAAGAAAAAAAATATCACATTTCTCCAGCAGAAAGGTCACAATATAATGAACAGTGGCCAGTACACAAATGTGCAGAATGATGTAGTGTATAAACTAAAACTCAGTGCACGCCAAAAGATTTGCAACAGACACAAAGTCTAAGGTCTTTTATTACATTTTATAGATTAAATATATCTTCAGTAGAGTCTCTTTTTTAAAACACACAAAAGGAAAAAATACATTCTTCATGTACATATGAAATACTGACCACGTAGCAGGGACCATGTACAGTGCAAAGTATGAACATAGCTACACAAGATATCACCACCTTGGACGATTATCTTTTTTTTTTTTTTTTTTTTAAAGTAAAAATTGAACAATGCAACATTTCCACTTCCAAAGAGAAATCCATACACATCACTTCCATAGCATTTTGTGGAATCATGCAGGAAAGTGTTTTTTTGTTTGTTTTACTTTTTAAAGGCATTATAAAATCCTTGCATTGCATGAAAAATTATCAAACTCCCCAAGCTTTACCTCTTTCACACATTCATAATCGTAGTACAATTTTTATTGTGATTGCAGCCCAACTCCAAAAATCCAGGGACAAAAATAAATATATATAACCTGATAAAGAGAAAGGAATGAACCAGATTGATTGTTGCAATGTCTAGGAAACATGTACCCACATGTACACATACATACACAAAAGGTGGAAGATAGCAAGGTGCGACTGAGTATCTCCTATTTATTACAAGTCTGGAGCAAGGGCTCTGGGCCACCTGTTTCACTTCAGCAGTGAATCTTCAGACTCTCAGTATGGGATGTCATTCTGGTAGTACTGGATCATGTCGTATGTTCTACTCCTAGAGGAGAAAAGCAAAGCCAGGGTAAATGAAAGTTAGAAAAAAAACAGAACACTATATCCATTGTCACGAAAACAAACATCAAGATCCCACAGAAATAAAACATAGGTGGAGCAAATTAGCTTATAATCAAAACCAGTCTTACACACTTTGAGGGCACTGTGAAGGCCCATTTATTGTTATGGACAGCACAAAATGTCCTGCTCTTGTTTAAATTAGCTAAAAAATTACTTCTGTGCTTCTCACTGTGGAAAGAACAGCAAGACATAAGATGGTGCAGTTCTGAACACAACGTATTCGTGCTGCAATTGCAGTGTGGAACCTGTTTGGATAAACCAGAAGCACCTCATGTTGCATCAGCCATTTGTTTTAGGAGAAAGAAATGCATAATGAACAACACAGGTCTGTACAGATCCAGGATCATGTGGATATCAAAGTAACCTCAGGGAAGGAGAATGCTAATAATAATTAAAAAATGCAGGAGAAATAGCCGCATTAATAGCATCATCTCTGATCAGTGACTGAATAATCATATCTAAGCCTTGTTACAGACAACTCAATTAATCCATGGACAGAGTTTGCTCAGGACGCAGACTGACTGTGTCACGAGAAGCTCAACCTTGCCACAACTAAGCTGTCTCTGATGAACACAACAGTGTGACTGAGTTCACAAGTCCCAATATTAGAGTTTTATAGCAGATGCACCAGCAGGCACTTGATCCAATTGAGCTCTAACAGGGCTGTATCTGAGCCAATGAACCTTACTATTCCCAAGATGAACACATGCACAGCTATGTAAGAGTTTGTATTAGATTCTCCAGCATATCCCACAAAATTTGCATTAACTGGGATACACACACACACACACATATATATAGGTCAGGTGACAAAAGTGACTGTTGTATTTTGTACTAATAAACGGTTAGATATGGTTCATATCACTGATGGAGTAGAAGCAAAAGCTACAGATGGAGAAATGTCAACAGCAACCCTTATCAAAGATGATAAAACATGTACTTAGGATATTTAAATATTAAATTTATTGTACATATTAACTACATTAAAATTCCAGTTTATGTGTAATTTCCTTTCATGTTTTTTGTACAAGATACTAAACTACTTATGTAGATGCTATACTAAACTGTAAGATACTTGAAGGGAAAAAAACTACAGTTGATTGACTAGCTTGTCATTATGATTATTTTTTAAATTGCTAATTATCTAGATAGAATTGATTATCCCATTCAGCATATTGAATAGCAGATCACAAATGAACGTGGCCCAGCTACACAGATATTAAAACACTGCATTGCCAGTGCTCTCTACTTGAGAATTTTTTTCCTATCCAACATTATACAGTAAGTAACATATGGTCTAGCAAAATTATTAGCAGATTAACGTTAATATCAAATCACAAGAAAGTTAGCGGGAAGATTGGAACTCATTCATAAAGAAGAGTTGAATACATTTTTGTGAAGAATACTAGCTTTGAATTTCAGAAGTATATTCAAGCAACTTAACACCTGCAAGCTACTATAGAAAAGACTCTGTAAAGGCACTGCAGTACTGTTGCAGCTTCATTCATACTCAGAATAATGGGCCATGCACACTTCTTTTTAAGAAACCTTCTCCTTACAAAATAAAGGACAACAAACTTCAAGATAATTCCTCTTTATTCTGACCAGAAAGCATGCTATTCCTGTTGCCATCTGGTACTGTTCTTTACTATTTATCCCTTCACAGGTGAACCTACCCTACGCAAAAGGGGATGCACAAGTAGACATATCCCCACAACAGTACAGTTGGGCATACCCCAACACAGAAGACAAAAGAATTTACTTTTAGACCAAAGATTCACCCTAACAGAAAATCTATTCTTTAGACTAGCCTGCCTTGTTGTTTGACCAGCCTGGACTTAAGCCTTCCTTTCCAACATAAAAGGGAGGAGACACAATGTGTTCAGAAGCAAAGCTCATACCTCTTAGTACTGCAAGATCAACTAAACGTTTGGTGTCTGAGTGATAAAAACTGTAGTTTTTAGCTCTGCTTAGATTCACCGGCTTATTTTGGTTGTAGAGACAAGACATACATAGATGGCAAACCTGTTGCTGAGGAAACAATTCTGGATGATCTTGATGATGAAAGTTGCAGCCTCCCGTTCTGTCATGTTGGGGCTGAACCTGTGTCTATATGCAAAAAAAAAACATCACAAAAAGTGAGAGTACAAATTAGTGTACTTGCTTTTGAGCGTGATACAAATGTGTCTTTGCAAAAGCTCAGCCTGCTGTCAGTTTCACTTGCTGCAAGTACCTACTTCCTGTAAGACTACCTTGTACAAACTGTGTAATATTTTAAAAGCACTTGCCTCTATTTTTACAGTGGAGACAGAGGCTATGAACTTTTAATCAGTTTAGTGGTAACTATAGGAACAGCAGATCCCTCTTTCTAGACAGCTGATGCTTTTAAAATATCTTTGTGCCTAGCAATAACCTTGAGCTCCAACCCATCATACTTCATGAAACTGCGCTCACGTTTAGGAAATTGTAGGAAGTTACGTGTAGGAAATACTGATTTAACTCTGGAGGCATAAGCCTGAAGGGCTGTTTAAAAAATCACATCATAATTTGTGTTTGCATAAACAACGTTACATTCATTACTGCATTATCCACAGAACAAATTCCAGTTGCTATTCCTTGGATTGCAACACCATTTCAGAGGACATTAAACTCTGCAACACGTTACCTCTCATTAAAGCAGACCTTTCCTTTAAGTAGTGCTTCCTTCATAGTGCTAAGAACTGAAATCATGCGCTCACACAGTCACTGCACAGTTTGAACTTAATTATATGAAAAGGCCTTTGAAATTCCTACTTGGAGATATTCTATAAACAAAATGTTACTATTTTTACAACAGTAAGAAATTTAAGATATTTGGTTAGCATGACAATACTCACTGCACAAGCTGTGACAGTGCACATACTACAAAGAACATATGAACACTTTCCAGTTCATATAAATGCTGACTTACTTTAGCAGCTTGATTGTCTGCCCTCGGAAACAGGGCAGCCCTGTATCCAACATTAATGTAACCAGTGAGACTACAGCATCCATATAAGGCCTAGAGGAAAAAGGGGACAAAAAGGTTACAGCACTCAAACTTCTGCAGCCTTAGTAGGCAAAGCAGACAAGTTGAGGAGTTCAACGAGCTGAATCACACCTTTTTCTGTAATTAAATCAACACATGTAAACCTCTCTACATTTGCTGGTGGAGCTACACCATTGCTTGCAATCTCTCACTTCAATTAAATCTCACTCCTTTATGTTGGACTACCAGATACTCAGAATGCTGCAAGATGAACAGCCTCAAGGGAAATTATACAAAGCAATACTTTTAGAAATAACACTTCTTTGGCAACAGTAAAGTAAATCAGTGCATCAAAGCAGTACAGATGGCTGAAACCAGCAATAGCACAGTAACAGATTACCTGCTACTTCCTAATTACTCTATGTAATTCTTCGCTACAACAGCCAGGCTTCCCTACTCCCTCCTCTGCTCCCACTTAGAACATTACCTACTATTACTCCACTACTTGGTTGCAGAGCAATATTAATATAGTGGCATTTTACTCTAGTATCACTCTAGTAGTATTTTATAACATTACTGTAGTATTATTCTGCTAGTATTTCTGGTT